TGTAGCAATTTCCTGTTGTTGAGTATCTGATAGTTTGCGTTCCTTCTCAGGCTAGTAAAGAAGATAGTGACAATAATCATGAATCTATTCCAAAAGATGATATTGGATACTCCAGACTAAAAGATCTTCCTAAAGCTACAAAACTGGTATTTTCTAGTCTCCCGTTCCTTTTCGTAACTGTGGGGGCATGCCTGGAAAGTTTCGTTGTTGCAATTACCGGAGCGTTTCTTCCCAAAGTAATTGAGACACAGTTTTATCAGCCCCCAGCAAGAGCAGCCCTGCTTTATGGCTTAGTAGCAGTACCATCTGCATTTTGCGGAAACATATTTGGTAAGTCGAAAGTTGAATTCATGACATGTTACTGACGTAGAAGGGGGGAGGGGTGGGGGATCAGAGGTTCAGAGTGACATTGTGATCGTATGCTGCACATACATCGTGTCTCCGATGCCTCGTACCTATCCACAAATTCTCCAGGGCGTCTAGATAACGGTCTACACTATCGTGCTTAGTAGTGTGTCCCTGACCATTTCATCGGCGATCTTTTTACATTTTTTACCCTTTACAAGAATAATTTACCTCGCTTTTAGATTGGCAGTTTTGAACCAGGACTCACATAGCTTACAACCTACTTTCCTTTTGTTGCAGGGGCATACATCAACAAACGTCTGAAACTTAACATGACTGATTCCGCCAGAATGTGCTTTATTGTTGCTTTGTTGGGACTTGTTAGCTGCGGTGCGTTCCTCCTTAGATGCAACACTCCAAGTATAGCGGGTGTTAATGCCCTGTATTCCAACAGGTGAGAAAAAAACAACACAGGGCCCTCGTATAGTAGGTCCATAAGTTTCGTCATATCTTAAATGCGAGCATGCTTCATCCGATTATGAAGTACGCATTCAAATTCTGAACTAACAATCGGCGACATCAGCTTTGAAATCGCAATATTCTGACAAAAGTGGACCAATTCTCTCCTCAACATCATTCTTTTAACCCCTCTGCTCGGGGAGGGGGGCTGGGGCTATATCATGATACACTTTTTTTTCTGAAATTGTGCAACTTCACTTCAGTTTTAATACTTTCTTAAACGTTGCCACATGGGTGTTCTGTGTCGACTAATGATGTCGCCGGATTGCTATATTCTTATAAAAAATCATGCTTCTTAATATCATAAAGCATCACATTTGATACGCACACTAAGTCGCATCAAGATGGTCACTACTTAAAAGAAATTTACTTTCATAGTGGGCAGCAAATATTATTTTCGATCATATTCTTGATTCTAAATAGTTCCGATCCCCATCAGCTCTCAGTGCCATGTAACCAAGCCTGTAACTGCGGTAAAATGGATTATACTCCTGTTTGCGATGGACCGCTAAACTATTTTTCACCATGTCACGCAGGCTGCAATAGAATAAATACAACAACCAAGGTACGATATAATATATACGATGCAGTCTAAAACGCGTTTCTTTAGTGGCCGTTTTTCCATTTTGGCAACAAGTGGCAGCTTTGCCATTTTTGCCACTACTGCCCGTTTTGCAATTTTGGCCACCAATGGCCGTTTGCCCATTTTGGCTTCAATTGGCTGATTTGCCATCTTGGCCACTAGTAGCCTTTATGAGATTCTAGCAAGTAGTCGCCGATTTCCCATTTTGACCACTAGTTGCCATTTTGAGACTTTGGCCACTCGTGGCCATTTTGCCATTTTGCCATTTTGCCACCAGTGGCCGTTTTGCCATTTTGGCCTCTAATGGCCGTCTTCCGTTCTGCCATTTTTGCCACTAGCAGCCGTTTTGCCATTTTGGCCACAACCGGACAATGTCCCATTTTGGCCACAAATGGCCGATTGCAAATTATATTTGGCCACTGGTGGCCGTTTTGCCATTTTAGCCACTAGTGGCAGTTTCGCCATTTTTGCCACAAGTGGCCGTTTTGCCATTTTAGTCACTAATGACCGATTTGCTCTTCTGGTCTCTAATGGCCGTTTTGCCATTTTGGCCACTACAGGCCGTTTTCCAATTTTGGCTATTTCAGCCCGCACAGGCCGTTTTACCATTATGGCCGCTAGTGACAGTTTTGCCATTTTTGCCAGTAGCGGCCGTTTTGCCATTTTGGTCACTGGTGGCTGACTTGCCATTTTGGCCACTACTGCCCGTTTCGCCATTTTTGCCACTAACAGCCGTTTTGCTATTTTGGCCATTAGTGACAGTTTTGCCATTTTGGCCATTAGTGGCTTTTTTTCCATTTTGGACATAAGTGGTCGTTTGGCCATTTTGGCCACTAGTGGCCGTTTTGCCATCTTCGCCAATAGCAGCCGATTTCCAATTTTGGCCACTAGTGACAAGTATGCGAGTGGTGGCAGCTTTATCATTTTACCTACCAGTGGCCGTTTTGCCATTTCAGCCACTAGTGGCCGATTTGCAATTTTGGCCGCTATTGGCCCATTTTGCGATTTTGGCCACTATTGGCCCATTTTGCCATTTTGGTCACTAGTGCCGTTTTACCATTTCAGCCACAAGTGGCTGTTTTGCCACTTTAGCTACCACTGGCAGTTTTGCCATTTTTGCCACTTATGGCCGTTTTGCCATTTTAGCCACTAGTGGCTGTTTTCTCAGTTTGGCCACTTGTGGCCAATTTGCCGTTTTGGCCACTAGTGGCTGCCTTATCGTTTTGGCCACTAATGGCCGTTTGGCCATTTTGGCCACTTGTGGTCAGGAAGATTACCCATTTTGGCCACTAGTGGCAGTTT